ATTAGCTAATTTTTATTTATTATTTTTTCTAGACAGAATGTTGCACATCTTCTCCTTTTAAAAATTTTGTCCCCGAAATTTATAGCCGTTAGACCAAATGTTTCCACTGCACACTATAATTCAAGTTTATATATCGCTAATCAATTTTGTCATAACGCACAAGTTGTTATCCTAAGTAGCTAAATTTGGGACACTCCACATAATCTTAAACCTATGCTCTGATACCAATTATAATGTCCCGACTCAATTCCATATAATTTAGAGCGCGAAGAATGCCAATAGTGAATAAATAAAGCTTTTGATAATAAAATTAATTACAATCGTCCATATCACCTTGAAAATACACAAATGATTCGTCACTGAAAGATTTCAATTCTTTAATTGACCCGATCACCTACCAACTTTTACTACAAGATCAACCGGCAACTAAGACGGTAAATGGGGTGAGCGTGGGGCCTAATAAGTAGAACAAAACATAATATACTGAATAGGAGGATCAAACGATAATCAACAACCAATGATCAATTGCAGAAGCATGAATTAACATATTGCTTTACAAATACATTGTGTCTATCACAAGAAATTGAATATTCCAATCGTTCCAAATTACCCATAGTTTTATTCTTGGTTTGTGTCGACATGTTAGGTGCAACTTGGTGCATACCGATTTCAGTCATGCCCCTAGGGCTAGAATCACATCCATGATCATAGCCAAGCCATTTAGTGCATCTGACACATGTATTGATAATTGCGCAAGCAATTCGCCATAAAAATATTCTGACATTATATCTGCAATGGAATATTAAACAAATAGTTAAAGGAATTTGAGAGGTGTTGCAATATTTAGAATATAATTTTGAACGATAACAACAAAATACACTCTTTGCAAAGAGACTTAAAACGGAAGCTTATTAGGAGTTAGCCAACATGATGCTCGTGTCAGATGACCAAGATATTTATGAATACTACATATGATCCACATACTAAATCCTTAGTTGACACTATAATCACGCCGACAAACTCTTCCCAATTGATTTTGTAAGAATTAAATTGTGAATCACCACATGAGCCTTAAATCGAAACCTCACTATTTATTCTCATAACTTTAGTTTCTTTCTCTCTTTGTTAGTGGCTCACACCGCTTCACACTCCGCCCTATTCTTTTTTCTTTACATTTCAGATGTCAAGCCACCACTTCTTTATTTTATTGCATTCTATGACTACTCGCACCCACATGCTCATAATTTGGACCTTTGTCCCCTTGTATAACCTTCTTGTCTTTCAAAACTATTTTTATATAGATAAAAATCAACTATTCACCTATTATTCAACCAAAAGGGCCTTTAAGGCCTGGCAGCTTCTACCTGACTTTCTTACGAGATTTCATAATTATGTCTTGCTACTTTGTGTCCCAATAATCATATAATCCATTCTTGCACCCTAAATTTTGTGAAGGTCGGAACTTACTTGACAAGGAATTTCGCTACATTAGGACTATTATAGTTACGACCGTCGTTTACCGGGGCTTCAGTCCCCATCATCTGGTCACCAACTTCAATTTGTCTTGGCTAATTCTAATTTATTATTGTTTTTAGACGTGATATTACAATTTACAATTATCTAGTTGATTCTAAGTTGGACTAGGTTCCATGAGTTTTTCCTTTTCTAGTTTACACGTAAAAAATCGCGTGCCTTCTACCTCGTATTATGATTTTGAACAACCTATGTATTGTTTTAGAGATTTGGAAGATGAAGGTGTCTTTAAAGGTGAAAGTTTATGCTTGGATAATTATTCATACCAAGATTAGTACTAATGAGATCCTTCAGAAGAGGAAACCTAATTATTATCTTCAACTACAATGGTATGTTATGTGTAGAAGTGATAATGAGAGTGTGGACCACTTATTTTTGCCTTGTCCTTTGGCGCGAGCATTATGGGACAAACTTTTTGACCTAGTTGCCTTTTCTTGGGTTGCTCCAAGAACCATATCTATGTTTTGTTTGGAAGATGTGGGGTTTGGGGAAATGGTAAATGGTAGACCATTTGGAATTGTGATTTCTTTACCATATTATGGTAGAGTTAGAAAGAAAGGAATGCAAGTATTTTTTTAGGATAAATATGACTAGTTAGAGTGATTATAGGGTAGAGTTTATTTTTGGGCCTCAATGTCTAAGGAGTTTGAATATATTCTTCTCTTTTGTTTTAGGACAAGCTAAAAACATAATGTGTCTGGGGTCCCCTAGCATAAAAGGTGACTTTTGCATAGGCCCTTTCTCCATAAGTAATTATCGATGTGATAGCAGCTCTCTTGGAAGTAAGTTTCTCCGCCATCTTGGTGAGACTAGTCTAATAAACTTTCATTTGAATTACTATAAGTCGGTGTTTTTTGTTGTGGTAACGCTCTTCCAAAATTTTGTTTATTACTTTTTATTTGTTTTCGTGGCTTATTATTGTGTACGATTCCTTGTCCACACTTGATTTGGTTTTCTTGTAATGATTTCGTTTGATTGTCAATAAAATGTTATTTTTGTAGGGACAATACAACATTTCAAGTGTAGAATCTTTCCATTTGATAATAGACGAGGAATCACACGCCAGATCTAGGGGGTGAATATGTTAATTTAAAATAAAGCTCGAATGACCTCCAATTTTAACTTATATCTACCATAATTACCTCTTCTCCCAAAGATATGACAATTTAAGTGTGAACCCTAAACAACACATTAAGAGTGTGAATGGATGAATGAATATGCAATCAACACCAACCAATCCACAATCTTCTTTTGATCCCAACCAAAGCCACAATCTCCAAAACCACTATTAAAGACTTAAAAGATAAACAATCAATTTATCAAACACATGGTGAGCGTGTGTGCAACAGTGAAAGTGTACAAGAAAATTAAAGCAATAAAGAACATATACAGTTTGTTAATGTTGAAACCCTTCTCGAAAAAAATTGCAAGGAACCTTCTCGATTCACTAAAGCCTAATCCACTAAACCTAAAGTCAATCTACAAGTATTCGAAGCATATGCCTCAACCAATCCATATGGTTAGATGCTACTTTCCTTTGTAGATCTCTCCACCAAAGGCCCTCTTTTGACGTTATGACTAGCTTCACTTCAACTTCCTTCCACACAGTTCATTTAGGCCTCGAGCAATTTTCAAGGCTTTACACCCAAGATCTCGTTATGCACACTCTCCAATTGGGTTTTGGTTGACACCAATCAATATCTTCTTTTTCAATGTATGAGGTTGAATGGAAGAATCAATATGGTTGGTCTTTAATCTTAGGGATTTAAGATAATTTTGAAACACTCTACAAGGATTTTTGGTCTATTCTAGTACATAGAGGCTTACCCTAGGTATAAGACATAGTCTCATATATATAAGACATAAAATAGGGTCTGTCTTGGTGACCAAGAAAATACAGATTCGTGTTGACCGCTTGAGCAATGGGAGGGCGGTCATAGGTGTTGAGTAAAAGATAAGTTATGCTAGACCTTTGGGGGGACAGATCGACTCAAGCGGTGGTAGGGCAGTCGAAGGGTGGCCATCAATCATACTTCACTAGTTTCTCCAGTTTTGTCCCCCAAAGTGTTTCAGAAATCATTCTATCGAAGGTTAGCCAATATAGAGCGATTCGTACTGATTTTTTTGCTAAAAACCAAACAAAAACTTGACCCATTAAGCATTAAAGGGTGTTGCTCAAATACGGTCTGATAAATGACTCAAACTATCTTTTCAAAACACATTTAAGGTTTAGAAAATATTTTCAATGAAAAACCTTAGGAGTCATTTTTCAGATATTGCAAATTTTATTTTATTCATGTAAAACATCCTAAGTCTAAAATTAAATCAAGGGATCTAGGTCTCTAAGGTCATTGCCTTTGTCCTAAGCTTGAAGGTGCATCGGAGTAGTCTTGATCTAGCATTGTAGCTTGATCTCCTTCCCATATCTTGTCCTTACAGATCTTAATCTTTAAAGCTTGTTGAGATTTACATAGATTTCATGAAATTAGCCAATTACAAATATATGATCTAACAATTTCTTTTCAAAAAAAAAAAAAAAAAATCTGTGTATTGTTTGCATGTGATTCTTGATTACCTATGCCATGAATTGTTGATTTGATTGGTTAATTTGCGTATGTCCCACACCGCCTTATGATTGTTGATAGAATTAATTTTAATTGGTTGATTTTGATTTAATTTCGAAAAGATCAATTCACCCCTCTAGGTTCATCTAGGTTTTCTTAGACATTGGTTCCCAAACCTTGATATGGTATTCGAGTAAGATTCTCTTAATAGTAGGTATTACCGCTTGAGTGGTGTCTTAACCCTAAAGAGAACAATAGACTAATCATGTGTAGAAGTCTCGGGTCATCTAGAGAATGTACTAAACAATAAGATTAAGGAATCCAAAAGGGTTGTGCTTGTAGTTTGTAGTGAGAAGGTGTCCTTACGAGAGAGAAAGGGAAATGATATTTGTCTAGTGGTTCACATTGCCTTGATAGCAGATGTGTTGAGGAGATGGCATTTTGGTAGTGGTTGTTCTAGGCACATGATCAAAGATAATTCCCATTTTTGCCACTAATAATGTGGTCGTTTTATCGCCTTTGGAGATGGGAGTGTATCACAAGTTGTAGGTAAAGATAGTATACAACCTCCCGAGATGCCAAAATTAAATTATATTGACTCTACTTGTGTGTAACTGAGCTAGTGTAGATTATGTGAATCTATGAAGCACGTATACTTCAACAGGGGTGAAGTATCTACACATAACATGTATCGGATACCGATAACCATCGGATGTTCAAGGATACATATCACATACCTTCCACATTTATTCCATATTTAATAATATAGTTCTCAGTGTTGAATACTCACCATCTCTCAGCAAATGCTATTTAGTTATTGTTTATTTGAGCCACGGAATTTGTGCAGCAGTCAAGATGTTTTTGATTCTTCTTTCTAAACACTTAATTTCTTCGTGCTCAAGAATGCTTTTGGATTCCGAGGACTTAATAGTAATGTCTATTATCATTCGAAATGATGATCAAGTGAATTGCACATTTTTTTCGGCCTTCTGGGAGGCTGTATTTTTAGTTCATTTTGGTGGGTGAGTTTTCTAAATCTTTCTAGATTTTTTGTAATATTAAATTGGGGATGTTGAAATTAAACTTGATACCATGAGGTGTGCACTATGTGCATGTGAAAACATAGCTCCTTTTGTTAGCTCTTATCACTTTCTGTTGATATCATGTTAGTATATTTGTGTCACATTCATCTATTCCAAATTCAAAGTTCGTTTGCCATTTTTTGGCAGGTTCTGTCTGCCAGGAAGGTTCAAGTTCTACTGGGTTATTTTGTCCGCTGCATAAGAAGAGCGGGTGGGTTCCGGAATTCACAAAACCCTACTCTGGAAGCAAATCTTGATGCAGCAGTAGCTCATGATCCTGAAGAACTGATACTGGAGTTGCAGCCTGCTGAAAGGGGCTTACAAAGTCAAATTCTGGAAGCAGATCTAGTTTTATGGACAGTTGGGTCTAAACCTCTACTTCCTATGTTAGAACCCTCTGATAGTCCTCATGGGCTTCCTCTGAATGCCAGGGGACAGGCAGAAACAGATGAAACTCTCTGTGTCAAGGGCCACCCGCGCATATTCGCAATTGGTGACTCTTCTTCACTGAGGGAGTCGAATGGAAAATTGCTTCCGGCCACAGCACAGGTACTTGACTTATGATATTTGCTAATATTAAGGAGTTGGTGGGAATTTCTATGTGATTACATGTCAACTGTGAACTTACCCCAACCCTTTCTTATTATTGATATTTTTCATCCTTCTCGACTAGGGTGTGATGTGCTGTCATAAATCTCGCAGGTGGCTTTTCAGCAAGCAGATTTTGTTGGTTGGAATCTATGGGCTGGGATTAATGACCGACCTTTGTTGCCATTTAGGTTCGAGACCCAAACACATTCCTTAGAGATGCATGTGTGAATACTTCATCATTAAGTTCATTTATCTTTTTTCTTTGGGTAAATAATCCTTCATTAAGTTCTTTTTATCAGGATTTGATATTTCGTCTGTGACTAATGTCTGAACTCTGAAATATCGGCAAACATGTGGCAGGAACATGTTTTACAATATTATATTTGCCTTTGCCGTGAGCTGCTCCTTATAATAATTGGTATTAGCAACTCGGTTATGAATGTTACATGCGTAGAGATTACAGATGGAAGCTGAAAAAGGGCAAAGATTATAAGTAACAGAAAGCAGAAATTAGAGTACTTGTATATCAAATAATTAGGTTCTTATAAATGGAGATTATTTCGTCCAAAAAAAATGGAGATTATTAAGTTCTTGGCTAGGTTCACTATTAAAGAGCATATAATACTACAAATTGCATAGGTGATACTTGAAGTAGTAAGTGGTACTAGGGTTTGAAAGGAGAATGATAAAGGGGAAGAAAGAAAAGTGAGAAAAGTGAGAGGAATATGTGTGTAGCTTGTGTTGCCCTACACTCTTTAATTTATAGTACAAACATATTTAGGGTAGTCACAATATTATCCTATACTTGCCAATTATGTGATATTACCTGGTTCTTGAGAATTTATCGAACACACGGCTGACAAATTCACAAACTGCAGTTTTATACTTATTCATATATATGGATTTGTATACAAACGATAAGATATTGAGGGGGCAGAGACAAGTATCTTGACAAGTATACAAACGGATTTGTAGATTGATTTGATTGCTTCAAATATGCTCCAAAATTTTTTGCAATTTCCCAAAATTTTGTGACTTTCCTGTTTTATTTTCAAAAGTTGGGGCTATTCTGGATTTTTTTTAATTTTGGTGCTTTCTGTGATTTCTAAAAAGTTTGTGGTTGTCAAAGCTAGTCTAGAATTTTTCAGAAAATTGAGCTGTTGGTTGTGTCAGAATCATCAATGGGTTAGGGCAAATCTTTTTTTCTAACTCTACTCTAGCTGCAAATTTTTTGCCATATTAACTTGTCAGCAGCAAAAATGTCGAAGTTGATGATGATGAGCAACCTGCCAGCGACAATAGTAGACATCAACAACAATAAAGCACAAAAAGCTGTGGCAAGAGATGATGAACAGGTGTTGGGTGTGGGTCTTTTGTCGAAATGGAATGGCCTTTTTATTTATTATTATTTATTGTGAATGATGGAATCATTACACATAGTATCCCCGCCCCCATCAGCGTATTTTTTGTTTTACGTCTCGTAACTCTTCCTCAGCCAGGCTTGGGCAGAATAGCAGAGCAAGTACAAGTATTAGTAGCATAACAAAAATGCGTTCCTCGTCATTAATATGTTGCTCGTGGCAATTGTGACCTCTCGGGAGAATCAATGGCTGCATCTTTGATGCATGGTGATTCTGCTGCTGATCTGTTTTCTCCCCTTATATGTGGGCACGACAGCAACTAGACAAGCCATCTTCCTCTTCCGTAGTAATTGGTTCGGTGCTGAGAAATGATGAGGGCAGCGATAGTCAAGCTTGAAAAAGACAAGTAGTGTCAGATCGCAGTTATGGAGCTTAGGCACTGATATGAAGCTGATGTAACCTGGTTCTTGAGCATTTTATTGAACACATGACAGGCAAAATTCCCAATCTGCAGTTTTATACTCTTTCATAGATAAAGGATTTGTATACAAAAGATAGGATATTGAGGGGGAGAGAGATAAGCAAGAAATGGGGGAAAATTCTAGAGACACCGGAAGCCTTGAAACCTCAAGGAGAGTAAAGAAGGGGAGAAAACCCTAACATACATTAGGGGGCCTTGAATCCACAAGGAGAGAGAAGAGATAAGGGAGATGAGAAGGATAAAGAGCCAAAGGCTTTGTCAAGGACTTAAAAGTCTCATTTTTGCCAGCTTCCTATATTGCACCCTTAAAGGCTTAGTTATAGCCTCTAACAAAACCCGAAGGGTTCATTACAATTATGAAAATGTCCCCAGTACTATATTTATAAAGGCATATTTGCATTATATCTTCTTTTCTCTAGAAATTGATTGCATCATTATGACTAATACATAAAATAAGAACTCTAACTCTCCCCTTAAGCTGCAGCTGAAACTACTGAAGGCAAATCGAGCCATTGACTTGGTAATAATATTAGACTTAATTTTTGGAATGCCAATCTCCTTTTGTATCAAGTTATCTCTAATGGAGTGGCAATCCACCTTGATGTATTTAGTACGCTCATAAATACTAGATTACTCGCAATGAAAATGGCTACTTGGTTGTCACTGTGCATCTTTATAGAAAAGGCACATCAATACCTATATCAGAACATAGTTATCAAATTGTGTATCGGAAGACGTATCGTTTTTAAAAATAGTGTATCGTATCGTATCGTGCATCGTAAGATACGGCACAATTTTAAATAAATAATAAAAAAATATATATACGTTTGAAAAAAAATAATAGACTCATAAAAGTATAGCATTTCATTAACACTCCACCAACTATTTAAGTCATCAACATAGTTCACTAAATTTATAATACAAAGTTCACACCATAGTTCATAATTCAAACTTCAAACACCCAAGAGACTTCTAATCCAAACTTCTAAACATCCATTTAGAAGTCAATCTTCAATTTCAATTGAAAATGCATCATTATCATCATCATCATTATCATCATCATCATTGTGATCGGATGCCAACAAGTCTTCACCTCATTATCTTCAACTTCTTGTATTTCTTCATCCTCATCCTCATCTTCAAGTTGAATTATTTGCTTCCTCTTTTTCTTGTTTAAAAAGATCGCTCGGCTCTACAAAAACAACCAATACAAAATATAAAAAAGATATTCAAAGTAATGGAGAAGAAGAAAAAAACAACCACTATATTTTAATTATATACTATTTACCTCTCTTCTCTTATGTTATTCCCTTTCGTGAACCTCAAAACATTCATCAACATTCATCTAAGTAGTGTCCTAGGAAAGAGTGCATCTTCTTTTCAGTGATTTACTCATCATCAGATTCAATATCTGAGAGAGCAATAGGGTCATAGGA